AATCAAGGAATGCCACCGCAGCGTAGTATTCCTCCTCCAGCAATCCTTGATCCATCTCTTCACCCACCACCTCGAGGTCCTTTTCCTCCAGGAGATATTTTTAATCAAACAGAAAGACCTTTTGGAACACCAGGAAGACAAAATATTGACAGCATTTCTAATCCAGAGAAAAGAGTACCACTTGGAGGTGATAACATTCGGCAGGAAGGAGACAGAGATTATCGCTTTCCTCCAGTGGAAAACAGAGATAATCTTAACAGGCCATCTCCAGTAGATGTCAGAGATTCTGTTGGACGACCACCGGTTGATCCAAGAGAGGGTATAGGAAGGCCTCCAGTAGATGGAAGAGAACACTTTGCAAGACCACACGTAGACATGAGAGAAAATTTTGGAAGACCAGGTATCGATAACCTTGGTCGAAGAGAGCATTTTGGTTTCAATTCAGACAAGCACTGGGGACAGAGAGGAGATTATGATGAAAGAGAGCACCATGCCTTCCCCATTTACGGTGGCCCTAAAGGCTTCCATGAAGACAGAGAGAGGTTTCGGCATGTAAACTATAGATTTGATAGTAGAAGTGGTCCTAATTGGAATAGAGGATTTGAACAAGATGCTCACAGAGATTTTGATGACCGCAGAAGACCCTGGGAAAGGCAGAGGGATAGGGATGACAGAGATTTTAATTTTTGCAGAGAAATTAATGGAAACAGGTTTGGAAGAGACAGAATGTCAAACAACTGGATCCCCCCTCCACACCCACGGGTTTTTGAATATTTTGATGGGGCCACATCCCAGCGCAAAGTCGATAATCTGCCCCAGGTAAACGGTGAAAATACAGAGACAGAAAGTCAGCCACCAACTGCACAGGTGCAGGATGATCCAGAACTTTATGAAAAACTGGCATCTTCCGTCGAGATAAACAAAGAGAAGAGTGACACAGAAGCTGATATAGAGAGTGAACCAGTGGTAGAAAGCACAGAAACTGAGGGGACATAATCATCACTCAGTAGGTAAAAGATACCTTTTGTAAAGTTGTCATCTCTCTGTAATAGATAAATGGCTGACTGGACCGTAGCAGTTCACTTTTGTCTGCCAGAATTAAGTTAATCTGATGTTCATGTTCATCTTTCACTTAAATAACTGTACAACTGACTTGTATAGAACACTGTTCTTAATTTGAACATGGTAGGTAAACATTTTTCTTTTTTTTTTTTTTTCCCCTTTTTTTTTTCCTTTTTTTTTCCTCTGGTAAAGCATAAACTTGCCCCCACTTGCTTTTAATTTCAGAAAGATAAAATAACAGCTTGTCAAACAAAGACTTCCTATGGAAGAAAATGGAATTTTTTAGATACTACCCTTAGGTTGGCTATCGAAATTGTTATACTTGAAAACAGGTGCTGGTGTATCTTGTCCGTGTTTTTAGGCTGCTGCAGAATTTTAAAGTATAGACAAAGCTGTGATATTTTATGTTCCTACAATTCGGCAGAAAAAGAAATGGCCCATGTTATTTAAGGAGCATAATACAGAGATTAAAAGTGATTTTGTAAAATCGACACTATAGTCTCTGTTTTCTCTAAAGTAAGTGTTTGTGATTTGTTCCTCGTACTGCAGTGGGTTTAAAAAAAACTGAAAAAGTACATTTTAATGTTGGGTGCATTTTGTTTTTAGATGCCAATAAAGCATATTTGTTTGATAACAGTGTTCTAGGTATTGTATTTTTTTAAAAAAACCTGCAAGCTCTAAAAACTTGGAATCAGCTATGATATGTGCTTAGGTAGTTGTTGCAAAAGGTTTATATTATTTTTGTAAGACCAGTGCAACAGTTATATGTGCAAGAAGCGTATGGTTTTTACATTGGAAATCATGCAGTGATACTAGTTTATGTAAATGATATGTATGTAAATACTTGTGTAAACTGTTTGTAGATACCACTTTTTCTGTGCGTGCCTGTGTATGTGCACGCACTCACAGAATATTGTAGACAGTTCAATAAAACTGAAATGAAACTAGGTTGTAAAAATCTGCCTTTCACCTTCTATAGGTAGTACGATAAAACTTCTTTCACTGCCATATTGTCAAGCTGATATTTACGTTCTCATGCTCATTGTTACAATGTTCTTACTACTTCTAGAAGGTGGAACATGATACACTGTAAGAGTAAACAGTAGGATTTTAGCTTACTTTTTAAATGCAGATATGCACGAAGCCAAAACTAAAGCAAATATTTGCATTGTCTTATTTTGTAACATATTTGGTATTCTGGATAGGTAGTGGTAGCATTCAAGTACTTTGTGGTTATTTCTTTTTAGTGACTCGAAGTCCAGAAATGTTGCACGGAAAGTAAAAAGCTGTTGTTGGTCTTAAAAAAACCTACATGTTTTTAACAGAAATAAGGGGGGCTTTGTCTTTTGATGGCTTAATATTGAAGTAGAACCTCTTACTAGATCTTTGAGATTAATTGGCTGTTTAGTTAAATTAGTAGTGCTATTCTCTCCTGTTTCACCTACTTTGCTGCTTGTGTATCCTCTAAATTGGTGGCAAAAGATTTGGATATAGGGCCATGTCAGATGTTCAGTGTGTTCCACTCAAATGCATTTCACCAACTTCTTTCAACATAACATTTGTTAAAATACTGTGTCTGAAAGCATCCTTTCAATCTGTTTTGAGAAAGCTGTTTTTTCTCTTGCATAATAGGATCCAAGGGTAGATTCTGTTACATGAATGCCCGTTTGGTAGAAGAAACATCTTTAGCTCAGATTAGAATTTTGATCTTTAACATTAAAGGGTTAATGTTCAAGTTTTAATTCCCCTTCTGCTTCCCCCAAAGGGATGAAAGTATGAGAATGTCACATGAGTGTAAATCATAAGCATGTCTTTGAATGTAGAAGCAAGTTACGCATGCCTGTATTGTCCTCTTCCTCTGGAGGTAGGGTATTTTTTCATGCTGTGTCATGATTCAGTTTTTCAATTACAGGGACTTTTTATTCTGGATAGTAAATGAACTGTCAGCTTAATGAAGGTAGCCCTTTGAAAGCATGGACTTTAATGAATGATTCTTCATCTACTGTGCAAGTAGTAGTCATTAGGATGTAGCAAGGTATGCGTTAAATAACTATTGCTTTTTAATAGACCTTGCTGATGTGTTTATTATCAGAACGTGTCTCAGGAGTTGAGATGAACAATGTTTAAAGTAGAAGTACCTTCATGGGCAGACGCTGGTTCAAAGAACTTGACTGGTGCTGCTGCACCACTTACTAGTAGTATTCTGGTCAGACAGAGATGGTTGTGTGAAAGTACAGATGCACAAAATAGCAATGAGGATATTCTATGAAATTAAGGAATTTTATTTTAATATGTGCAGTGTGAGAAGGCTCAAATCATAGACCACATAAATACTCAGAATCGAACACATATTGGCAGTAGCTTTTACTTTTCAAATATTTTTTTAATTTAAAACTGAAAGTCAATCTGTTTTTCTTTTTCTAAACTGGGACTGGCAGCATGCTAAATTGCTCATAGTATGATGCTTTAGGTAAATTACAAGGTGAGAGATGTTAAACAATTTGGTTGGTAGTGGTATAGAACAATGTATGATTTACTGATTTTTTCATCTTTGTTAATATCTTTTAAGCATTAATAAATTGGCTACTGTACATATGTGTTACACCATCAATTTCTAACAAGTATTTTATTTTTGTAGAATAAAAATTTGTTGTGCAGTCTTCAGTTGCATCATGTTTACAGCTAGAACTCTTCCATTTCTTATTTTATTAATGTAGTGTGCAAATATGACCAGAATAGCCAGGTTCAGAAACTTGAAGGGACTTAATATTTACCAAAACAGTATGGTTTCTTTATCTTGCCAGTAGGAATTTTAAAATCTTTCAGAATTTGAGCAGACTTTCCTTTCTTACTGTAGATTAAGCAATCGTAAACCAGCACTTGCACTGAAAGGAGCTGTACTGTGATCCAGATCAGTTTTTTGATGTGGTTCACTGTAGTGTCATGGAATTTTTGCTGATGCAAAGGAAAGACTGAGATTGGGACTGAAAGAAGTTGGGGGTCAGGGATTTGGGCAGCATTTCTGGCTTATGCCTCTTTAAAGCTGGCTCTAGTGATGAAAGGTGTCAATTCTAGCAAGAGAAGAAAGCCGATCTACTATTTACATAAGTAGCATACATATTGACAAATATTTCAGGTAGTTTTGCAGGCAGTACAATATATTTAGGCATACACGTTTACTTGAAAAACTTATGCATTAGCAAGTTGTTTGATGTATTTATTACCTTTTTAAACAGCCTGTGATTCTGACCTTACACCATAATGTATTTGAGCAGAATGCTACATCCCTAAAGATTACAGAGATGAAACATAGTCTTCATTTGCTCTAAGGACATGAATTCTTTGCTGAAGCCTTTTTCTGTGAAATAATGGTACACTTTCGTTTTTATTTGTAGTGCTTCATGTTGTTACTACAAACTCAAGGGAGTAGATTCTGTTAGATTCCTTTGCTTCAGTAGAGTACTATACCATTCTTCAAGCCATTTCAGTGATTTAAATGGCTGTTTATGAAGTTAAGGTACTGTTACCCTGAATAAGGAAAGATGGGAATGCTGTAATCAAGCCTGTAGTGTGGCATGCACAGGCATTACTTAAGCACAGTTGGAAAATTATCAAATGAACTACCTATAGAAGGTATTTATAAAATAAGCCGATTCCTTGCAGAACTCTGAAAATAGAATGACAGCAGTTTTGGTGACATACAAGGATACTTTATGCTGGTCAACACTCAAAGTACATGTTTTCTTGGTCCATATTCCTCTAACTCAAGTATTTGGGTCATTTGATTTGAAGCTGGTAAAAATTGATCTCAAATTTAATTTTCTGTATTTTCAGTAATGTGTTTAAACTTAACATAATACTAAGGTGACTTTTTTTGTCTCTTGATAAAGGGAGTTGAGCAAATGTAATTTAAGAACCTATTCAGAGTATCAGGAGTCACCAAGAGTAACTAGGACAATTTTTGTTGTTAATTCAGGTAATGAAAAGATCTTTTTTTTTCCCCTGTTGACAGCTATTGCTGATTCTTTGAATTTTACATTAGTCACATTTTCCTTTCAAGTGCTGAGCTTTTACAAGTAAGCAGGTACTGTGAGGCCGTCGACTTCTATACATGAGAGATTGATTTAAAAGGCATAAAGACAGGATACTTTTTTTGAATTCAAAGCTGTTTATTTGAACAAGAATGGTAAAAGCATATTTCTGCCATGTTGCTGTACTATATCCATTCACATCAACAGAAACTTTGCAGTGGCAAAGAGAATATCATAGTTCAGGACTTTCTTAATTGTAACTAGTCCTATATTTCTCCTTGAAGGGTCTTCCTAGCGATATTATTCACTCCACTTAGTCTGTACAAATTCTTTGGGTACTCAAACGTTTTTAATTTTAGTAACATATGTGCATTATTTCATAGTAAAGTCAAGTAGAACTACTAAAAAGAAAATTTATTACTTCTCTTTAGGAGTAATAACTTCCAGGAAAGGTGTATAGGATCTGAAAAGTTATTCTTGTCAGTGATGGGATGGTACAAAAATCTGTTGAGGTTTCTTTTGAAGTGGGCAAGCTGTAAAATTGTAATTGCCGTAATTCTTGTATTCCTTTCTGTCTTAAACAAACCTGATGAAAAAGCGTAGTCTCTTTGAATATCCTACTCTTAGTATCTTTTAGATCCTCTGTTGCCAAAGATCAGAGGAGGAGAAGAACTAGTGATCTGGGCACTCTTAAAAATCAAGAGGTTGTTAGGATATGTTGTGGATTTGAAGATGAATGTATTTTCTCTTTTTGAGAAGCTTAAAATGCACATTTCACCACTTGCATAGTAACAGTGATATTAGTGGTGTCACTGGTTTACTAATGTTATTCTGTATTTTGCCAGTTTTCTTTTAAAGTTCACTAATTTTAATTTTTCTCTTCTTATCAGATGAAATCATACTATTTTGTGCTTTACAGAAATTACCCCAAAACAA